GGGTGTTGTTGGTTTTTTGGGGGGAGATTGTTGTTTGTTTACTTTTTTTTAAAAGGAGACAGCCGCATGCCAGAAAGCCTGATGGAGCCTCTCCAAGAGCCTTCATTTCAATCATGACGGCTAATGAAAAGGATATCTGCTCGTGAAAGTGAAAGTGGCAGAAGGAAGTCAACTTCTGGGAAGGACCTCAATATTCATACAAGCCAAATGCTGCTAAAGACACCCAGACCTATATTTTCATACCACAAGCAGTTCTACCAGATAGCCAACTATTCAGCTGACCTATCCAGGCACTCTGGCTCACCTGAGCTATGTCCCCAGACCAACTGGCAGTATCACACTTTCCCAGAGCTCAGAAGAGAGAAAAATAAAAAGCACACACAGTGCACTGCAGAACATATTAATTAGAAAACCCCCATTTCTAAAAAGAAGCAGAATGATGAAAGACCAAATTGCAGATTTTTCAGGATCATGATACACAAGTGTCCTTATCAACCCAGGTTTTGAAGCATCACACCAGGAAAAAAATAAAAAATAAAAATTAAAAATCACTCGATACAGCTAACAGGTTCTGCCAACTACCAGCCAATTCCCTTTATAGCTGGTATAAAACCTAAGGGAAGTCGAGAAAAGGAAAGGTTGGCAATCATAAAACCAGTCACTTCACACTGCAAAACCCAGGTCTCTGCGATGACTTAGAGTGACAGAGCGCAACAGCTTGCAGTGACAAAAGGAGTTTTCACAAGTGAGATACTTAACATTTAAAATGTAAGCCTAAAACAACAGATTCATCTGGGAAGCATAGCATGGAAAGAATATCATTTTTGAACTGTAAAGAATATATGTGTAGGAAGTAGTTCTTTATTGAATCACATTAACAGCTAGAAGCTCCAACCAAGTTTACTACATGTTGTAATCTGGTATATCGTACCATATAAAAGTGTCCCCATTAATTGTGCACCAATTGTTCCTTTATTTTGAAAAGCTCTAATTCCGAGTCTTTGCATTCTATTACCTGAAGTATGCATTTCACATAAGAAAGCCTCAGCACAAGACCTCTACAGCTCCCTTGCTACCCAAGTCTCTGGACATCTTGCCTTGCTTTCCCAAGCAAATGTGACAATTACCAGGTTTGCAGATTAGCAAGGTTATACTGTATTGTAACATAAGGACAGTGCAGCTCAGTGCCTTTTGGCTGAGCATGGCAAGTCACTCAATATGGAGCAGTTGTTTCTCTTTAAATGAAGATGACTGGGTCAGTAGCTGATTGTTTGGCGAAGAGATCTGAAACTGGCATTTCACCATCTAGCTTGGCTGCGAAACACTGGGGTTCTTTATCCAATGCATTTCCTTTGGGGAATGCCTTAATTGGAAACTCTGGCTAATAAAGGGCAAAGTTCTAATTTAAAACTGCAGGTTCACCATCTGTGCATACATTTGGACTTTTGTCCTTGTAACCTGCCAGGTATGAAGTCATCTGGCAGATAAATAGAGGCTCTGTATACATTGCAATTATCACCATGCTGGGGTGTTGTGTTGTGTCATAAACATGATAGCCTCTTGGCAAGGCCATTTAATCAAATGTTCATGATACAACAGGGTCCTAAGTCACATGTGCAAAAATAAAAAAAAAAAAAAAAAAAAAAACCAACTGTGCCACAGAACAGCCAGGGGAATAGGTTTTTATTGCAATAGTGCCTCCAGCATAGTAACATGCAGGGTGCACATGAAAATAAAGTTGGTATGCCTTATTAGTTCCACCCCATGACAACATGGATGCTGCTTCAGAGTTGTGAAAGCCAAGCCATTGGTTGTGTTGTCTTTTCCCAGGTGGCAGAGCCCAGGCCAAGTAAAATACAGTATGTTTTGATGTCACGATTATCATTCACATCTTGAGTGTTAGGCTCACTTAATGATGTAATTAAAAAAAAACAAACAAAAAAACAACAACCATCAAGAGCATTAGGCGAGTCCTGAATTCAACCATTTTAATGTCAAGAAAGGTCTTCCTTCAAGGTGATTTCATGCCATGCTTTCAAACCAAAAGGTAAGTGAACTACCTGGAGGCTCCCATTGCTACTTATGCGATATCAAGTTCACTGTTGGTGGAGTGAGTTTCATCTTCTTGACATGACAGCTGACTGCAAAAAAAAATCAACATACCAACAGTGTCTTACTGATGAAAAATCTTCTTGCAAAATGGATCCCAGAGGCCACATGGAGACTCTCCCAATTAAGTGGCAAGCACATGAACAGTTTACTACTGCTCAAAAGCCCACAAGGGCATCTAACAGAAGTCCTTAGGATTAAATCAGCAGGTGTTAATGTTCTGCTACTCTTCCATAAAGTACTGTCTAGTTCAGGACTTACCCCATAAGAATGGCTCTGGAGTTCCTAATGAGCCCAAAGAGCACCAACAAACAGATCAGGACATGGAACAGAAGTAGGCCCAGGTATCCTAGCCATCTGCAGCAAATAGAAACAAAGATGGTTAGAAAAAGGAGAACTGGCATCTGGGGAAACATGAGGAAAAAAAAAAAAAAGCCTTGGCCCTCCAACTCCAAAGCTTAACAAGTAGGATTCACTACTAATGAAAAGCTCTAGAGACTAATCCGCAAGGAGCTCTTTATAGCTGGCTGAAGTCCAGGCGAATGAGGGTGTGCAAGAATGACCAAAGCATTCACCTGTTCAAAAACACTGTCCCCAGTCCTACTTTAAACTTAAAAACCCTTTACAGATGGACACTATAGATTTCCTTATCCCACCCCAGTAGAGCACCAGGTCACACCATGCTGAGGTATGCTGCACCTGGTCTGGGCACACTGCCTCTGGAACTGGAAGCAGCATTACCACCATAGTGCACTGCTGCATACCGACTGCACTCTCATTATGGCAGCTACAGTACTACTAGTTCAGAACAAACAGATGCTCACGAGCAAAGTGGGCAGCAAGCCATGCTACTCACCTGTACCAGTCATACAGATCAACCTGAGTGGCCAGGTCCTCCAATGACAATTCTTCATTTTTCCAGAATGGGATCTCAGTGGTTTGCCTAACCAGGTCATCTAAGAGGCCCTGGAGTTTCTGGACAACATGCAGGTAATCTGTTTGTTTTGTGAACATCTCCTCTAGGACCAGAAGATTGGGTTCCACAGTTTGATTCAGGGCCACTGCCGTGTCCAGCACCTAGTGATCCAAGAGACAGAGAAGAAGGCACAACAAAAGTTTACAGCATTCTGCCCGGCTAGGAAGGAGAACATACAAACAGCTAGTGAAGATTAGGTTTCTCTGCCAAAACACAACAGGCGCTTTCCAGATTATAAACAAGCCTCTTCCAGAAGTTGGGACCATTCATGAAGTTTTCACTTCCAATGTAGCTGGCACTTAAGATGGATTTAAACAAATGCAAGGCACACTAAACCATGGCACAGAGCCAGAAAAGCACCACCAGGGCTGGACAACTTGCCTGCTTTTAAACAGGACTTATCTGCCTAACTTTTGGAAGGGGGCTGTACAGCAGAGGGCTCCTAGCCACACATCTGGAGACCTTGATCCAAGCTGACCAACCTACCCAAGGGTTCAGCAGAGCAACAAGTGAAATCCACAAGGAGCTGCACGTGTGAAGTGTGACACAGCGACAGCCATTTCTATTAAAACTATGCTGTTGCCTCAAAAGGAGTTTGTTCTCCTACCGCCTTCTCTGGGGGTGGTGTAGTGCTAATGAGGAGCTGTTTTTAACCACACACGATCGTGAAAGAACACTTCTACGTTTAACAACATTTCCTTCGCTTTGATATTTTTGGAAGTGATGAAGATGGGGGCAGGGTGAGGAGAGAACACCATCTTTTCATTAGTGGAGAAAGTTTGGCACACACTTCTGATGATTAGCAAAGGACAGACAGATGGACACAGACAGTCCAAGGAAATCCCCGAGTCTGTTCTTTCACTCACACCCCTCGATTGCATGCTACAGCCCCTCCCTGGGCTTACCCGGTCCTGGACACCGGCCACAGTGCGGTTAGCATGTCTTAGTGAGTATGTAAGTCGGTGGATGCCATCGCTGGTTTCCCCATTTCCATAGAAGCCAACAGCAATGCCAGCACTGAAGAGCAAAAGAAAAAAAAAAGGACCAGTTAGCAGATAAACACAGCCATCATTGCACGTTCCTGCTGGCCACTCCCAGCTCTCCCTCGGACCAGGGCTTCCCACAGGAACAGGAGCAGCCTGGCTCTGGAGAGGTGAAGGAAGAGAGCCAGAGAGTCAGGCTCTTGCTAATCGGCACAGGAAACACGCAGAACAGATTTGGCCACCCTGCGAAATAGCCTCCAGTTCAGTCTTCTCTGCTGTAGATGTAACACTCAGTTCTTTGCTGAGGGCCTACGGGAATGAGAGGAGTATGCACTCCGCATTCCCCATACAAATCTTCATGTTGATTGATGGTTCAGCAATGAGGTCTAGTTAAAAAGGACAAGCAGGGGAATCTCAGCTTAGTCATGGATTGTAGGAGGGGAAACGGCCAAGTTCCCTTCTTGAAAGCTATCCCAGCATGTCATAAATCATGTGCCACACACACAGGGGACAAGCATCGTACAGAGCTCTAAAACCTTATAATTAAAAACAGGGCTCTTCAGGACCTCATACCACAAGCACATATCCACTGTTGCTTTTGTCCAACCCCATTTCATTTGTCCCCTTCCCTATTCTGAATAACCAAACAGCCCAGGATCTCTGACCAGTCTCCCAGGAGCAACCTTTTGGCTGTTAGGTTTATGACTGAGTTGGCAGCATCTTGTGCCCAAACGAGAACAGAATTTAGTAGAACTTATATTCACGTTCTTTAAAACAACTTTTGGCTCTTAGTATCTAATCCTAGCCCTCGTCAGAGACCTGCTCTCCAGTCATGTCACCAAACCTGGGGTGAGCTTTGCAATCTATGAAACCTGGGGAGCAGGGCATGGGTCAGAGAAACAGCAGAGGTGATCTTGCCCCAAGTCAATACCATCTCTTCTCTGCCACCAGGGAAGCATGTCACCAGCGCTTTGTGTCCCCTCTTCCACTGAGCTTCTCCAATCCTCTCTAAACCTGTCCACCAGTCGGGAAGGTAAAATGGTATGGAGCAAATCTAGGAGAACACACGTCACTGAGATTAGGGCAAGACTTGTGGCTTTGAATTTCATTTCCCCTTCTCAGAAAGCCAAGCTTTCCTTTTGGCAGATGGTGCTTAAATTTAAACAAGCCATCAAAATCTTCACACCAGCCTCCTGCCAATCACGAGGCTCCAACCCCCGGCCCCACAGAGGAAGTTTGACAAGAGGCACAGGAAGGAAGCGATCCAAACAAAGGCTCCAAGACAAGTCAGCATAGCACCTTTGTTTCAGAGGAGCAGTCACCAAAGGACGGTAAGCATACCCTCCCCCACTTTCCCACCTCTGCTAGGAAATGACAGATCCTCTTGAATAGTCTTTGTCTAGAGTATGAACCATTTTACAAGGATCTGTCTTGGCAGCTCTGCTATTTCAGGTACACCCCCCCCCTCCACTCCCCTTCCCTGAATCTTGCCACTTCCATAGGAACCAGCAAGACAATGCAGCTAACGTTAGCTGCATCATGACCTGACCTTGCTAACGCCACCAGAGACCACATGCTGGAAACAGAGCAGCTGCACAAGGCTGTATCATACCCATTGCTTTTCCCAGCAATCGGGGGTTCCATAAATTATCGGGTGCTTGGTTCGTAAAATCCTTAGTTAAAGGCTTCTCCACAGGGGGAGCAGCTAACCTACATCTTGACTGCTTCAAAGGAGGTAGGAGGCATGTCATTCTAAATGGCATTTACAGCCTAGATGCAGCTCCTGCACCCTTCCCTCACAAATACTGTTCCATAAAAGCGTTTCATAATGCAAATGGAATTGGTAATTACACAAGGAAAAGATTCCTCCCTTGATAGTAGCTACTGTCACAGCTAAAAAATACAAGCCCAGGCACAGCCTCAGTCATAAGTGGCTACAGATCCGATGCTTATGCTCTGGATACAAGAAAAAAATCCCAGAACCATGTCACTGCAAGACACCTCAATACCCAGCCCCCATCTAGCACAGCAGTCCAAGGACATAGCTGGGAAAAGCCTAGTCAGGCCGCATCCACCCTTGGAGAAGAGGAAAGCGCATAGCTTGTGTTTGGTCATCTGTACAGAGCAAACGCCAGACCCCGCTTCACAGCAAGACAGCAGACGGGAGCCCTGCAATATGCCGAGCCACTGTTCTTTGGTGAACTGCGGCAGCATTAGCCTTGCTGGCACACAGATGAGATGGGTGCCAGAATAGGCCATCTGGGTTCTTAGTATTCTCAGCACAGCTGCAGCAGGTTAGTCGGCAGGGTGGGGAAATGGTGCTCTGGCTGGAACACAAGCCGCTCGCTTCAGATGTTAGCCCCGTTTTAAAAGTACGATGCTGCTCTTCTTATACAGGCTGCTCACTACCAGCAGCCAACTGTACAACCCTCACACACCCAGCGTGTCCAAGAAAGGGCAGCATGCAAAGGATTCTGGAGCCATTGCTGCAGCCTCCATTTCCCACAGGGCACTGGTATCCACTTCAGTAGCCCCCTCCCTCCCTAAGACAACCATTACCCTGAGAAGGAACTACTAAAAAGCCTTCAGTGTCAGGATTTAGGATACAGCCATTCAAATTAATACTGAATCAGCCAGGTCATGTGCACCAAAGCCACTGTGGGCTAAGTATGGAACTAATTACATCACTGCTAGCGAGCAATGGCCAAGTACTTATTCACATTCTTTGCTAATAGGAACCACTGAAATAGATATCTTTCCAGAGAAGCAAGTTTCACAGCAACTTGGCGGTTCCTTTTCCTGCCACGATAGCAGGAAGAAAGCTCAGCATTCCCAAGGATAAGTCTTCAGAGCTGCATGGGGACAAACAGTCTCAGATCAGGGGAATGCAGCTGGAGGGTACAGAGGGCAACTAGGAAATCTTAATAAAAGCAGAGAGCAGAGGGAGCTGTTGATACTTCACCTCCTGCTTTTATTTGCCTCTCAGAGTCTGTTAGCTGCTTCAAGCCTGCAGTTTAGTGTTGCTGGTTGATACACAGATTTGGTTGAAACTGGTTAAGAAGCAGCTCATTTCATCTTAAAATTATCCCTTGAATCAACTTCTGTCAATTTAGCTCATACCAAGGTTATATCATTAAAGGATCAAAGCAGCCCTTTGCACTCATTTCATTAAGTGCTGGAGAAGGGGAGGGGGAAAATCTATGTCCCTTGAGTTAAATGAGTGCAACTCTGCATTTAGAGAGAGAGTTCTCCAAGTGCTTAGGAGACCATTAAGAAATCCAATGGCCTTTGCTTTGTAAAATTAGGATAGCATTAGATGTTGGGAGTCTGTAGACCCTAGATAACACGCGCTCAAGCTGGATAGATAGAGAAAATCTTTAAAGTTTAGCATGGAGTTTCATTAAGCCCAAGACTTGCACACAGTAGCCAAATGGACCCGGACCAAGACGACTGAAGATGCCAAGACTGGCTTAATCTGTCAATCAATGGCCTGCAGCCACTGCAAAGCTTTGAATGCAAGGAGGGACCCCAGATTACAAACCAAAAGCCTGCATAGAAGGGCCAAGTTGCTGTTCACAGAGAACAAGAGCATCTACTGGGTTCTCATCTCCTGCTGAGCAGGGTGGATGCTTAAAGGATGATGGTAGAGACAAGAATTTCTCTCTGGATGCGATAAATACAGTGTGAAAGCCCCTCTGAGTGTCCAATCCCCAGCCTATCTGGTTCAAATCGCATCTTTGGAAATGAATAATTTAACTGTACCAAGTCATCTTTAATTACAGGAGCTTCATAAGCGGAAGCCCTTTCAAACCTCACGCTCTCAGGAGAAATGTTAATTTGTCTGTCTAATTACCACCTTGCACTTCAGTATCAGGGGGAAGAGTGCTATTTCTGGCATCTGAGAAAGCAGTCTTTCACCACCTATGTGTATGCTTTTCCTCCCAGTGACGCCCTTGATACAGCACAGATCTTGGCTTCTGGCCTCATTCAGCACCATGACCTCTGCTGAACTCCATCATATAGGTTGGCACCTTGAGTCACAGCCACAGAGCCTAGGAATATGGGGATTCTTTACAAAATACAGCTCCCCGTCTGGCCAAAAGGCTCAAAACCAGCACGTGTTATAACAACTGTAAGCTAAGAGTTCACCAGATAACTGGACAAGCCAAGTCATCAAGCAAGAAGCAGGCAGATAAAGACAATTGGTGGAGACTGATTCAGCACAAAACAATTCTAACATGGGCTATTTAATAGCAAGCTGGTATCTGAAGCAACAGGGCTAGGAACTTCTGTTGGTTTTAAAATGGATTCTTAGCTAGAGTCCTGGGATTCATAGACATTAGGGCTGGAAGGGACCTCGAAGATGATCAAGTCCAGCCCCCTGCCCCACAAGCAGGAAGTCAGCTAGGGTCAAAGGATCCCAGCAAGATAAGCATCCAAGCGTTTCTTGAATGAGTCCAGAGTCGGTACCTGCACCTCTTCTGGAGAGAATCTATTCCATGTCTTAGGGGCTCAGACAGTAAAGAAATTTTTCTTATGTCCAGCCTAAAGCGGTCTTGGAGGAGTTTATGACCATTGGTCCTTGTTTTTCCTTGGGGCGCTCTGGTGAACAGACGTTCTCCCAGGACCTGATGTACACCCCTTATGTACTTGTAAGCAGCCACCAGGTCCCCCCTTAGCCTGTGCTTTTCCAGGCCGAAGAGTCCCATGGATCTCAGCCTCTCTTCATAACACCTATTCTCTTGCCCTCTGATCATGCATGTGGCTCTCCTCTGGACTCTCTCAAGCTTCTCCACATCCTTCTTGAATTGTGGAGCCCAGAATCGGATGCAGTACTCCAGCTGCAGCCTCACCAAGGCTGAGTACAGTGGGAGGATGACATCCTGAGATTTACTTGAGAAGCATCTATGGATGCAAGCCAGCGTTTTGTTTGCGTTACCAGCTGCGACAGGGCACTGGTGGCTCATGTTCATCTTGTGGTCAGTCATGACCCCCAAGTCTCTTTTAACAGTGGTGCTAGCAAGCGTAGCACGG